AATCTCCCAAATTCCCAATCTCCCAAATTCCCAAATTTCCCAAGTTCCAAAATTCTCCAAATTCCAAAATTCTCAAACTCCCAAGCTCCCAAATTCCAAAATTCTCCAAATCCCCCAATCCCCAAATACCCAAATTCCCAAACTCCCAAACTCCCAAACTCCCAAATCCCCAAATTCTCAAATTCCTAAATTTTCAAGTCCCAAACTCCCTAAATCCCCAACCTCCTCAAATCCCCAAATTCTCAAATTCCTGCATCCCTCAATTCAAATTACTTAATTTCTAGATTTGTATATTCTCAAATCCCAAAATTCTTAAATCCCTCATCCCTCATCTAAAAAATTTTCAAATCCCCAAATCTCTCTTCATCATCACCAAACTACTAAACCCCCATCTCCACAAAAGCTCCAATCACAATCGCTCCACACAATGACTGTCCATTAACACACAGCTCTATTAAACCCGTCTCTAGCAAACTCTAAATTACAATCATTCTAAAATTAGCATCCATCTTAGTAGTTAAAAATAGTCGTCAACTTCTTCTGCTCTTAACGATTGTTGTTTCTCGTCAGAACACCGTTGACAGTGCTTCAACCGATTCCTCCAGTCATCCCTTAACGAGCGTCCAATCGATCAACCAAGGAAAACAGGTCAACAACGAAAGAATCTCTTCGACCATCGGGTCAAACGTGACCGTGAAGACGAATGTGTTTCGCAAAAATTCACCGGAAACACATCGTGTCTGGCCGCACACGACGAACACCGGTAAATTCGTCGATTCTGTGAAGCTAAAAAAAACTTGGCCAAAAAGTGATGTTGCTTTTGTCGGTCGATGACAGGTCGTTTCGATATAATTTTTCGACACTTCATTTTTATTTGATAAATGTAAAGTGTCTTTGCAGTTTATATTTTATTAAGGAAAGTTTATTTTTTGTTTCATAGTTTAATATTTTATGGAGGACACTTTATTTGTTGTTTCATAATTTAATAATTTAGTTCATGGTGTATTTTATTAAGGAAAGTTTATTTTTTTTTCTTAGTTTAATATTTTATGGAGGAAACTTTATTTATTATTCATAATTTAATACTTTGGTTCATGGTATATTTTATTAGGAAAAGTTTATTTTTTGTTTCATAGTTTAATATTTTATGGAGGAAACTTTATTTGTTGTTTCATAATTTAATAATTTAGTTCATGGTGTATTTTATTGAGGAATGTTTATTTTTTGTTTCATAGTTTAATATTTTATGGAGGAAACTTTATTTGCTTCATAATTTAATATTTTAGTTCATGGTGTATTTTATTGAGGAAAGTTTATTTTTTGTTTCATAGTTTAATATTTTATGGAGGAAACTTTATTTGTTGTTTCATAATTTAATAATTTAGTTCATGGTGTATTTTATTAAGGAAAGTTTATTTTTTTTTCTTAGTTTAATATTTTATGGAGGAAACTTTATTTATTATTCATAATTTAATACTTTGGTTCATGGTATATTTTATTAAGGAAAGTTTATTTTTTGTTTCATAGTTTAATATTTTAGTTCATGGTATTTTTTATACTGCTAAAAGAAGTTTATAGTATATTTCATAGAAAGATTGTAGTATATAGTTCAATATTATATTTCATAGTATTTTATTAAAAGGAAGTGTCGAGTATAATAAAGTTCGTCGTTTATTACATGTGGTATCTAACCTTACCACATCTTTTTCATAAAAAACGTTGTTTAAACCTAAAACAAATTGATACAATATACCATATAATTTTGAAAAATGAACTTTGACAATATATTAAATAATTTTCATAAATGCAAGAACGATGTTTAAACAATGAAGCGCTAAACGTCGATAAACTTCAATTTCGATTTACGTAACTCAGTATAAAAAATACTATTGATTATTTTGAAATGTTCCTCTAAATTCCAGAAGAGCAAGTAACACTTATACCGAACATACAGCTAATAAAATTTTAATCAGACAGAATATCTTTAAAAACGACAAATCTTTTTGGCAAACACAATGAAACGTATATTTGTTTGAGATCTATCGGTTCGCAGATCTGGTCAAGATCAAAGATTCGGAATATCCCCGCTCGTACGTGAACGCATCGAGTGCTGGTCGTCTCGGAAAATATACACCAGTCGATCCCGAAATGTCGAGTCACGAGGATAGCTCGATCGGTTCCGATAGCGAGGACGATTCGATCGAAAGAGGAAGCGGCACGCAGATTTACTCGCGAAACGAAACTGACAAGAACGAGGCATCGAAGAAGAGCAGCATACGCTCCCACACCTCGGCTTGTTTTTCCACTGGCGAATCCTCCGGGGATCTGGACAACGAAATTGTAAATTCTGAGAAGAACCGAGACCCGAAGGAGTTACGAGCGAAGCGACAAGTTGGTAATCCTTCAAATATTATTTCTCTTGCTTTATAGACTCGCGATATATTGCATCACTGGTACCGCGTTCTTCTTCTTTTAAGTTTGCATCGAGATTTGGAAGACAATTTGAAAATTATTTGAGTGACTTCTAAGTTATTCACTTAGTACTGATTTTAGAATTTTTTCGCACCGAAATTTGGAAGCTTGAAAATTATTTGAGTGACTTCTAAGTTGTTCACTTAGTACTCAGTGCTTCAGTATTTTTTTGCACCGAGATTTAGAAGCTTGAAAATTATTTGAGTGACTTCTAAGTGGTTCACTTAGTACTCAGTGCTTCAGTATTTTTTTTCACCGAGATTTGGAAGCTTGAAAATTATTTGAGTGACTTCTAAGTTGTTCACTTAGTACTCAGTGCTTCAGTATTTTTTTTCACCGAGATTTGGAAGCTTGAAAATAATTTGAGTAACTTCTAAGTGGTTCACTTAGTACTCAGTGCTTCAGTACTTTTTTGGAACTTGCAAACTGAAGAATTGAATAATTTAAACGTTAAAAAATTGGGATTATAAGAATTGAAAATACGATATTTAATGAATGAGGAAATTTTGATTTATTTGTGTGTAGTATTTGCATACATTAAGGTTGATTAATAGGAAGGAAAATTACAAACATCTTCTCTGGAACTTTTACTAAAGGAGTTAGAACGTGACTGTAATTGCACCGTCGATGATTAATCTTGATTTGTGCAAGTGGTAACGATGGATTAGTTATGAAATATCAATTCTTACTACCATTGAATACAAGCACTTTGATCAGTTACATAGTTGATCTACGAGCTTGTATGTTAATATTTGCTGATTTCAATTCTAACGTCATGTTTACCAGGAAAATGATAAGTGTGTTCATATTTACTATAAAAATATTTCAACTGTTAGGTGTTCGACAAGTTACGAGATTTCGAAATTGTGAGGTTGTGAGGTTTTAGGGTTTCAAGGGTTCAGGGTTTTAGGGTTTCAGAGTTTTAGAGTTTCAGAGTTTCGGGGCTTTAGGGTTTCAGAGTTTTAGAGTTTCAGAGTTTCAGAGTTTGAGGTTTTAAGGGTTTCAAGGTTAGAGGAGTTTCAGGGTTTCAGGGTTTCAGAGTTTCAGAGTTTGAGGGTTTGAGGGTTTGAGAGTTTGAGGGTTTCAGGGTTTTAGGGTTTCAGGGTTTCAGGGTTTCAGGGTTTCAGGGTTTCAGAGTTTCGGAGTTTGAGGGTTTAAGGGTTTCAGGGTTTGAGGGCTTCAGGGTTTCAGGGTTTCAGGGTTTCAGAATTTCAAAGTTTCAGAGTTTGAGGTTTTAAGGGTTTCAGGATTTCAAAGTTTCAGGGTTTCAGAGTTTCAGAGTTTCAGAGTTTCAGAGTTTCAGAGTTTCAAGGTTTTAGAATTCCAAGGTTGCAAAGTTTCAGGGTTTCAGGGTTTCAAGGTTTCATGGTTTCAGGGTTTCAGAGTTTCATATTTTTGAAATTCCAGGGTATCAAGGTTTCAAATTCTCAAGGTTCCACACTTCCAAAATTCTACATAGCTAGAGTCCCACAGTTTCACCAAAACTAAAAAAACTCTAAATAGTCCTTGCGTTACGCCGATCACATCTGGCGATCTATTCCGTGCGATAGGAAAAATAATATTTGCTTTGAAAGCTCGGCGAACAGTCAAACGTCCGGAATATGTATATATGTCGTTAGGAAATTGGACATAAAGCATCGGGAGCCTTCAACGAAATTTTGCTTTCGTTTCCTTTTAGATCGCGTAATGAGATATTTATAGAGCCCGAATGTCGAATGATATATCTATTTAAAACGCGAAAAAACATATCTTCAAAAATATCCTTTCGACGCAGAAATTCTTCGCGGTGAGGAGATCCTTGTCGGAAGGTGACAGCGAAAGATACCACCGTGCGAGACGACACTGCAAGTGCATCAGACAGGAGTTGTTCGACGAAACGGAACAGTTTCCTGCTTTTCCCACCTTCAACGACAGCAGGTTACAAATTATCGGATTATCGAACGCGAAAGACGCAGATAACGTTTACAGGTGAATATCAAATTATTTATTTTTTTCACTCTTAATAATATTCTTAATTTGTTTGCAGGGAAAACTTGTCAGAGAACGAACTCGAAGTAAGTCAGAAACACTATCTTTTAAAAATTGTGCAAAAAGAAATTAAATATGAAGCTTGACTTTTTATTTCTTTTGCAGCTAAAGTACGTCGCGTTTTCGATAGGGCTGAGTACAGACAGAATCACCTTGCAAAGAAGAATGGCGCTGTCTCTTCGACAACGAGATCAGTCGGAGAGAAATTTCACGGACGAAGTGCAGAAGATGCAAGAAGATATACAGGCACGTATATCCGCACCACGAAGATTATAAGAATGATGTTAATAATCAATTTCTACTTTTTTCAGGGTTTATCGCCATTATGTACGGATAGAGATTCGATAGACAAGGTAGACAAGATTCGTCGTCGATTAGACATGGTGGCCCGATGCGCCCATGGGGTTTCCTGCGCTGCTGAGACGCTAGGAGCAGTGTACCAAGAGCATAGAATCTCTAAAGCAATTTTTATTGCCGATAAGTATCTTCAGATATTGCGCACCAGGTGCGAAAATTTGGCTGCGGAAATTGCGGAGATCAAGTAAGGTTCTGTACATAATCTGTATTATACAACAAAGCCATATATTTTCATTTTATTGTCAGTGAAAATTTGTTATGATACCAAATAAGATTTTATTAGAATGTTAATAGAATATATCTCAATTTTCTAGGGGAATCTTACTAAAAAACAACATTGTGATAGAAGAGAATTCGGGAGAGACCGGCGACGATTTACCCAAAATACGATACAGGAATGGAGTACCCACGAACAACAGAATGGTTCGAAAAATAATAAAATAAATAGCTGGTCATATGCGCATATCTTCTTCTTAAACGTTTGTTTACAGATAGCCCGAAGAAGAGCAAGCATTGCAACAATTTCAAGACCGTTATCTTCGCAAGATGTGATAAAGGCAATATTTTCGTTATCCATACTTTGTTCTTTAACGGGAAACATTCTGTTATCGCAGTTACGCGTTAAAAATATTTTAGATATCGTATAAATGTTTTTTTTTTATTCAGGAAGGTCCACGGCAACGAAATTCCGTTTCCGGAAGAGTCACTTTGAGGAGGCCGTCGTTGTGCTCTGAAACGCAAAGATGGGAGAGTGAAAAATTAAATCGGACAGAGTTCGTATTTTTTAAATGAACGATAGAAAACGTATACTTAAAATCAATAAATATCTTGGTATTGCAGCAGTTCGAACAGTGTTGTTGAATTACGAGACATTTTCGAGCAAACTGAGTCACGGAGAAATTCTGTTGAAGAAAATAATAATTTAAGAACTGACCAGAGCAATACAGTCGATACCGTGAATTGCAACATCGCTAACGATGTAGAGGCTGAAGATAGAATGAATAATAAACAGAACTCGTTCTTAGAATCCAATGTGACTAAAACTGTTGAGAAACAACTGAAATTATGGTATTTATTCCAATATACTTAGTATTCCGTTTTTTCATTCTTACTTCCATAGACACCCTATAAAAATGACATGGCAAAGCTTTAATATTTATTGAACTTTTTTTAGTATCGGAGCGGGAGAACCTTTGAAATTACCCAGAAATTTTGAAACATGGCGACCGATATTGTGGTACATACTGATCTTCTTCCTTGGATTTTATGCGAAACAAGTTACGTCATGTTGATATGGTCCCAACTTTGTAATACAGTGCAAAATTTCAATAGCAGAAATGGAGAACTAGTGTTCCTTCGTTACAGTATTAAATAGGTAATCCGAGTGTAACGATATTGAAAAAAGGAAAAAATAAACAATCTGATTTATAAATATATCGAGTTTAATCTTTTATTCATATATTACAAATTATCCACTGTCCCAATACACACGAGCGAGCTATTTTTATTGTAGTAACGTAATGAAAGAATACTTGAGCAGTATGTTGAGTATATTTGTGGTGATTCTGTTTCAGGTACTAGATTTGATGAATTACTGAAAGAAATAAGAATATTTAAATAGAGAAGATATTTTTGAACCGAGCATTTTACATTTATGGAATGTAAAATACCTATTAACAGTCTTAATATGGTCATGCGTAGGCCATAAACGAATAGTGCCATCTAGACTTCCGCTAGCAATGTATTGTCCATCAAAACTCCAATCTAAATTCATAATCGTATCCTCATGGCCTTTGAGTTCAGTCAACAATGAGTTATTTGCCAAATCCCAAACAAAAATAGACTTGTCATCGCCTGAGAAAATAAAATATTGTATGGTATCATGTAGTCGAAAAAATTCTACTCTATAAACAAATTATTTTACCAGCAGCTGCCAAATGTTTCCCATCAGGACTAAAAGCTAGACTGTAAATTGTCGACTGTGGTCCAATGTATACCCTCAACAAATTTCCATCATCTTTATCCCATAACCTGACAGTCTTATCGGCCGACCCAGTGGCTAAATATCGAGCGTTCGGATGAAATTTTACACACTATGAGAAAATACGTAATGAAACTACATGAAATTAAAAAATCATTAGATAATAACATAATTAAATCTTGAAAAAAATATCCTATATAAGTATATAAAATATTTTTTTCAAGTATTTATATCTTCCAAAGTTAAAATACATACATTTATATCTAGAAAGTGACCAGCAAATATACGCAATGGAAATACCCTATCTAAGGACCATAATTTGGCTGTTCTATCATGGGAACCTGTTGCTACATAGAGATTGAATACACTAAGGTCCATGCACCATATAGGATAATTGTGTCCGCTGTAACAGAATTTTTGATTTGTTATTAACTTTACATTTTATGATACTGAAATAAAATTTATGGGGATATGTACCTATAAATTGCGGCACACGTGTAATCGTTAAGTCTCCATGCCCTCATATCCTTATCACTAGATACGGAAAGTAAAATTTCTGATTCTGGAATAAACCTTAAATCGTGTACAATATCGGTATGTCCTCTAAGTATCACTGCTCCTCCTTCAGTCCTTGAAACAAATCACATAAATATACAATTTTTTATTTATCATTGGAAGTTACTTAGATGATTATAAAAACTTACATTCTGTCAGTTGTTTCATAAAATTTATCTAAAAACGGACTATCAGAAGTAAACGAGAAGGAGGGTTCCTCATACTTTGGCTTAATTAATACTGTTTCATTTATACCCCATAGCCTAATTTCCGTAGTACTAAATCCTACAGCTAATTTATCCATACTAGGTGGGATTATACCACTACTTGCACTGCAAGGAAAAATGATTTATGTTATTTTCATTCTTTTATCATATCAAATCTATCCTATAATAAAATATGAAAATTTTATATCAAGAAACTATTCACATAATTACTTTTCAATGGCATTATTCACTGCAAATATCCGTAGCGGTTGATGTGCGTTATTTCGAATTAATCTTATTGCTTCTTGCAATTCTCTCATTTCACGGTCAGCTCCTGTGCCGGATGGCTGCTCTACATACCCATTGATTCCTGCTTCACAACGTGAACTAATATCTTCGCAGCCTTCTGTATCTGTTTCAAGTACATCCATTTTTTTAATTATTGTCACGTGTGTATTTATAATCTAAACAATAGAAAAAATATCTGTTATGAACATCAAGCATATAACATTTATATATTTGCATAATATATATAACTATCCCTGTTGTTACCTGCATTAATATAATATGACCATGTTTTGAAAGGAATTGCTGAAGACATAAATGAGCAATATCTGACATGTCCACCTTGTACTTCCTAGTTCTGAATGAATTTACCAAAGGTCTCAACTCGATATCCTGCACTGAAAATACACTGGATAACTCTTCTAAGAAGTCTTTCTCAGTTTCACTAATAAATTCATTTTGATGCGATTTCAAAAATTGAATAGCTGCTTGTCTATTACCAGCATGTAGCATCTCTAGATATAAGTGACAAAATACAGGGTATAAAAGCCCTTTTAATTCCATTTTCAATTTATCATCGAGTATAATATTTACCCACATCTTTAATCTGGAAAAATGAAGAGTTACCACAAATAAATTAGCAAAAGAGATACTATACAATATACTGCAGCGGACAGTAAAAGTATGGAACAAGAATTAATGGATATACCGTTGATATGCTTGATCTGCAGCAGCAACATCGATGCTAATGGCACTGAAAATAATGGAGTTATCTTGAGATGTGGCAGAAGCAGCAGTAGCATTCAAAGTCATTTCATCACTGGTACGGCAATGTAATTGATTGCCTCTACAGAAAACCTCGCTAGTCTATAATGAATGTTTAAAAGTTACAAAAGGTTATGTTATATTTGTCAATTATATATTAATTTAAACTTAAATTTGTCGAATGAAAATAAGAACGTAACCTGCCTGATAATGACGTCGTTTTAAATATGATTCAATTGTAGCATTAATCAATTCACTTTTTAAACGTTTCATCTTTTTGAAATTACACCTTGGTTATATTCGGACGTTTTTAAAGATCCCACCATAAGAAAGACGTCAAATGACAGAAATCATTGAAAATACATAATATCAACAGTTACTTAAAATGTGAATAATACGTAGACATTATTCATGTTTTGTCAACAATTAATAAAAACAGCAACGAGTTTGAATAACCGCTAAATGCTGTATATTTTCATCGGCGAGTTACTACAAGATTTGAATGAAACTTCGACCAGTAGCATTTAACATACTGCTTCCGTCACGAAATTTTTTTTCTTTTAAATTTTCATACTTCGTAGAATCTCATTTGCAATATACAAAACATAAACAAATAGTTGCCGCTCATCGGTCATTCTGCAAATAGAAAGACAAGAATCCCGTATCTTTTCCCTAGAACATTATTCGTTATCCCTGAATTACTAGATAAGTTGTAACTTGTTTCTGAACGTAGAATTTATATCTGTTAGCAAGTAATATAAAATCAAAGCACAGTTTAGAAGCAAAATATATTTTTTATTTATACTCGTATAAAAATTTATAAAATTTAAATAGTATCAAATACTATTTTATTTCACGTTCATGTATAGAGGTATATCAAATTCCAACAGTTAGTTAATAACTAGGAACAAAATATTATGATTAGAATTATTAATTATCAACTCCTTGGCATCATGAAGCGCAATATTCAGCGAGTAAATACCTCCGCTGTATCACAAAAGGCAATTAATAATTTACCACATACTTGGCAATAATAATTATCACTTAAATCGTGATGTAAATACGTTAAAATTAGACTTAATATTACATGTATACTGTCCTGCAAGCTCTTCTTCCTCAGTCTCTAATGTGGACCTAAAAAGAAACGCGTATAAAAATTTATAAAAATATAATAACTCAATAGGATGAAAATTGCAGTCTTCTTAGAGTTAAAACTTACAGATCTGAACATAGAGAACTTAAATCTTGAGGTAGAAAATAACGTTTACGCGAAGACAAAGCGACAAATGGATCGGTTTTGTCTTCAAAATTATCAAAGCCCTTTAATCTGTAAAGATAAAATATTTATAACTTATTCAAAAATAATAATTTACTATGAAGTCTATACTAACTGTACTATGAAATGTCGGATCTCATGGTCCAGCGATTCTTCGACATCACGTTTCGCTAAATTAAATACTGTAGGAAAAGCTACATCACGAAAATCACCAATTTTTACAATATTATATTTATCGAAATTGCCCTGCTCAGAAGATTTTGCTTTAAATCTTTGTGCAATTAAAGATCGCGTGGTTGGTGTGTCTATCCACATAACATAATAATTTTTGCGAAGTTTTTCAGAAAACCATTCAGATGCACCAACTGAAGCTACATTATTCCATTCTAGTACATCATACCAATCATGTACCTGCATAATATATAAAAAATTACAACTTTGATTATTGTACACAATAAAAATAATAGTACAATTTTATTAACTTACACATCTGCAAACATTGTGAAGCATTCCACGAAGATCTGTCATGAATGCCATGAAAGATTTACTACCTTTAGGATACAACAATACAATATCTACATTACTGCTAATATTTATATTATCGTTATGTGTGTCAGTTGTTCTATACTTGTAATATATAATGTAGATAAGACATATAACTCCACACATTATAATAAATGTAATAACAACAATTGGCAGAACGAAAGATGGACGTCTACTGGGATCAATGTTAAGTTGAAACTTAAAGTATTCGGAATTAGTTATATTTCGGCACCCTGTAGAAAAAATTTAAATCAGATAAATGTTAATTAATAAAAATATTCATGTTTCTTTCTTTTTAACTTACGGTGAAACCAAATACATTGTGCTACTGGAGGTTTCCACAAAATATCGTTTTCACATCTAACATCGCTATAATATATTTTAAAGCAACGATCTACATTTGCTGCAACTACTTCAGCTTGAAATTTTCCATACGCCTCGTACTTTCCATTAGTAGTCTATAAACGATAATTACGATTTCCTAAATCATATATATGTTTCTATGATATAATTATAGTATAAAATTAATAATCAATAGCAAAACTTACAAAGCTTGCATTAAAATATTGGTGTCTGTATTCTGTATCTGACTCCTAAAATGATATGAATGAAAGAATTAGTAATTTCTTATTAGCTTTCATAACAATACAGTAAATTATAATAAACTTTGAAATATTAAGATATTACAAAAATATTAAATATTTGAGACAACTTCTTTGATTCTTTCTTCCTAGTATCAGTATCACAGTTTCCAAGATTGTTTGGACCATAAATATATAATCCTGGTTTTATCATTATATTTTCAACTATTGGTGTAGAAATCCTGACTTCATAATTTACTAATTCACTACAAAATTAAAATAATTTGTTTAATAAATGGTAATATCTTATACATACATGAGAAACAAATGGAAACTTACTTTGTTACATTACTAGATATAATATCATATGAACAATCAACCTCTGGTTTTGTAATTTCTGTACGCTTATAATCTGTTTTTAAGAATGTATTATTTATTAAATTTATGCCTTCAAATGTATTAGTGAAAGAAGTAAGAGAATAACATGCAGTAAATGCAAATGGCACAGATATGTTAACGCTCTCCTAGAAACAAGATACACAATATATAATTCTAGTCTACAATGTACTAAAAAGAATTAACTGGTTACCTGATACTGATGGCCTACAAAACATACAGTACTTTTAGTATGTATTTCCTTATCATTATCATTAAAAGTATAGTTCATACATTGCTTCTCATTAATTGATGCATTTGCAAAAAGAGTTATTTTATACTTGCACAATTGCTTTGTTGGCTTAAAATTAATTTGCAACATTGCTGTAATAAATAATTGTTTAAAGACATGTTTTATCATACCATATAGATACATGTAAATGAACTTAAATTTATTTACCTGGGAATTCAGAAATGTCATTTCTTTTAATTACTGCAACAGTAGTAGGAATACTTGTATTACAATACGGTACATCAGAATCTCTCTGCTTTTTCCAAAATGTTTTACAACCATCTGTATCACAAACAAACTGTAAATAAAAGAAATCTTTATGTAAATAGAATTTTATGTGTATAAACTCTATAATGCATATGTCATAAAAGAAACAATACTTTAATCAATTTTGTATTTCTTTGAGATTTTATTAATACTTACATTACATGTACCTTCCACAAAACATATATAAATAAACAGAATTAAAAATCTAGTAACATAAATCAGCTTAAAATAACCTTTATACATAATGAGATTGCACTTTTACAGAGATTATTTTATTAACAAAAATAGTTTCCTATGGATTCGAATTTCGCACAAATTTAACGCGCATCCAACAGAAATTACAATTTTTCTGTTGTAAACACTCAACAGTTTAAAAATGTATAATTCCATGCAGTATCCATCTTTTGGTGAAATGCGAATAACATATTCTGTATGACGTAAAAATATAACGCAATAGTTATATTTTTAAAAATATGTAAACCAAAACACATGCTTGTTCGTCTTTTCTACGTATTGTATGTATTTGAACATGCATGTAAATACATGTATGACCTGATGTATATGAGCGTCATTTTTCTGCGTAATCTACATACATACTTACTACTTATGCATCTTATATCTATCTCCGTTCTCTCAATCAAAAGCAACGAAGACAGACATAATTACAACGAAATCACACGATAAAAAATCACTCGCCTCTATGAAGTAAACTACATTCATGATGTATGTACATACTATGTTTACTGACTAAAAAGAAATAATTTATTTTGATTGTACAAATCAAAATTCAATTAAGCAGGTAATATTTGAAAAGTAAAAAAACAAATAAGGAAAACAATCCAAGATTATTTATGCATATTTTTTATGTAATAAATAATTTAAAGAAAAAAAAATAAATAGGATTTTTAAAATACTTGTAAAAACCCTATCATCTTTTTTATTTAACTACATTTTATTACATGTATTTCATTTTTTCATTAACCTATGATATTTAATTTCATGTAAATATAAAAAAGAAACGAAGCATATAAACAAATTAAAAGAATATTTAACACGAATACTTTAAATGGCCATAAGAATATACATATACGCGTGCGCATCTGTTAACGCAGTTGTCCTAAATTATACATATCATTTTTTTATTCCTTAAAACCAAATAAAACTGTCAATGATAAATACTTAATATTTTTTGTGTATAATTATACTGTTAGTTTTGGAAAAAATACAATATAGAGAAGGAATTTTTAAAGTGAATTGCGAAAAGTTACAATTTTTAATCTAACTGTATACTTCATTTTCTTTTTCCATGATAAACGCCATCGCGATAACGTTATGAAACTTCAGAATGTACGGAGCGATCAAAGAAATTATTGCAAAAAGAGTTATATATACATATGTATCTTTCACAGCCTATCTTATTGCAAACTTCGTTTTAATTCCTTTTTGAAAATAAAATACCGATACCACAGAGCGCAAACAAATGATTATATCATAAATTCGTTACCTACAGAAAATATTATAATGGATAATCCTCTTCGTGTACGGCTATACGACAGAAGCAACGCAAAAAGAGAAATATAATACTAAAGATACTTGTCGCACGTAAATTGTTATCTAAAATCGTACTAAAGACTTGTTCACATTGCTTAAAATGTAGTGCCGGTACTCGATCACATAAACAAGCCTTTTGTGAGACCGATATTCCTTCCTTACGAAGAAATAGCGCGCAATTCATATTCACTGTATACGAACAATTCCCAGTTATTCATAAGTGATAAAATTAGCTAGCAATATAAACCGTTTCCTTGATTATCAACTATGTATTTCTGTAAATACTGTGCAGCCTTCTCGCTTAATCCAAGCTTTGGTAGATCATTCTTAAATTGATCCAACGTTCCAGCACCTGCTATGTAACCATTTAACTTCGCGGCTAATGGTGAATTTCGAAGAATTTCGTCGCTGGTGAGACCAGTAGTTTCCAACAACCATGGATGATTTCGAAGTCGATACTTTTGATGATAACTGAAAAATCAATACATATATCCATAATTTTTGATTATTCAAGAGAGTTAAAAAGGAAATGTTACAATTCTCTAACTATGGAATTTAGTTCAATAGTAAGTGATGTCAAGTCAACAATTGTCGCCATTTACATAACAAAACGTGAACTAGAATGTATTACATTAGTTCATATGAAATATAGAATTCCTATCGGTGTTCGTATGTATTTATATTTTTTTATCAATTGATTAATATAACGCGTGATAATTTTACACGTAGTGATATAATACATTGCGATTACAACGTGTAGTAATATAACTATATCAAAAGTAATTACTACTCTTATATCTAGCTATTTTTTTCAGTATCTTACTAGAACGTCATTGCACATGATACTCACTCTTCGGCCGGATAAAACCTTTCAAATTTTCGAACTTCTGTATAAATCATATCTGTACGTTTTCGTTGCTCATGCTCCCGTGACTTTTCAGCCAGCAGTTTCTGTTCCTCGTCGTGGTACAAAATCAGAGACATGTACTGAAAATGGACATACATAATCATATTAAATTATTGCATGTACAGCAAAACCTCTGTGAGAATTACCTGTCTCTTGATTTTTGTAGTCAGACCATATTCGTGGTTTTGCCAAAACAGAGAGAGCAGTTCTGCATAAGATATCACATCTGGATTGTACTCTATATCAACGACTTCGGTATGATCTCCGCTGCAATAAAAAACATATGAAGAAATTAATAATAATACACAACATATCTTATCAAAATTTAATTAATTAATTAATCTTACTACTTTTTATATTATACGTTTATTCTAGAAACAAAAATGTTTTCAAACGTAATCAATAAATTCCTGATACAGTAGACTCTCGTTACATTGTTGCAAATTCTTGGAAATGTCAATATAATGCATTGCGGATACAACGTGTAACATATGGCAAAATTGCGGGTAATAATTACTATTACGCGACTGACGCGAATTACAGCTCATAGTAATACAACACGTGGCAAGGGGTCACGTTGCAATACAACGCGTGGCAATATAACGTGTGATGATACAACGCAAGGCAATATAATGCGTGGCAATATAATGTGTAATGATACAATGTGCGGCAATATAACGCGAGGCGATACGAAAAGGGTGGCAATATAACGCGTGGTCATATAACGTATGGCGATATAACGTGTGATAACACAAAGCGTAGACATTACAATACATCGCGAATACAATGCGTGGCAATATAGCGCGTGGCAATATAACGCATGGCAATTACAACGCATCGCGAATACAAGTGGCAATATAGCACGTGGCAATATAACGCGTGGCTTATGAATCGTAAATACAACGCGTAATAATATTACACGTGGCGATACAACACGTGGCAATATAACACGTGACAATTTAATAAATAGCAATTCAGCGTTTGGCGGTCTAACACGTGATGATTACAACGCGCAATGCGGCAAGTGCAACATATAATGTATGTCAATGCGGAAGTCTATATAGCGGTAGTAATGTAATGAAAGTCTACTGTTTCCTATTAAAAAGAAATGTAGGTGTTTGAAGAGGGAAAAAATATTAATTACATGCTTCTATAAGTAGGCGATTCCTTTTGTCCACCGGCATATCCTACGCAGGTTTTGATGACACCGGGTAAAACACCAAACAGACAATCACCTGCCCAAAAGCATCCCATTCCAAATGTAGCGCGTTTAGCTTGAATCTCTTCTAATTGTCCAGGCATTTTGTTCGACTGTTGTCCATTGAACGAAGAAGCATATGTAAGAAAACAAGATACATATTCAAGTTAGAAAAATCGGAATTGATCCACGTGCTTCGGAGATGTTAGATTTGATCTCATCCGATAAACAACCGGGAAACCTGTTAAGTAACGGTCACGTTGAATGTTACGGGAGCGTCTAATGTAACACGAGTGCTTCTTCTTTATCGTAGACAAATCTATAGTATTTCGCTTTGATATTGATTTCTGTTGTGCTGTTGCACAATATTGCTTTACAGTTTTGAAATTTCTGATCATTAACACCACCCGTTATGCTCAAGGTAAAGGTCCGAGATGCCTACTAAAAAACCACGACGAAATGTATAGGGTGGACCGTACAACCTGATCACCTTGATCATTTCCGTTTATAACGTGCTAATCGAACTTTTCTTTCAGTAGCGCGCCTTTTTCGTAACCGTACCTTTCTTCTTTTTTAACTGCTAATTTCAGTTTTTTATTGTGTTTGAATAATTTTTGAATTAACAAACGAATTTAGGTGTGGGAAAGTTTTCTTTTCGAAACTATAATCCTTGAAAATATTGATCAACCTGACGAAGTACTTAAAATGCTGTTCATCGACTCCGATGTACTTGAATAAGGAATGCCTACCTAATTCCTTCGATGGTTACCATCGTGACACGTAATCGAGTACAGATCTACTATTTGATATTCGAAATAATTTTGCGTGTGTTTGAAAATCTTTATAAACTTAACTCATAATTTATAGTAAATCTTACATATAATATATATTTAAGAATTCTGTAAAGATGCTTTTTTAAAAATTCTGTCAAGGTACAAGTGTTGAGAATTCCATAGCTAACCTAATTCATAACTATTTTATTTTAGCTTCCATAAAAGTATAATCTAAAAAAAGAATCAGTCGCTCGATCAAAGATAAATTTATAAACGTAAAGAGAATATAGGGTAACATAACGATGTAATATGATCAAATGACACGTCTTTTTGAAGCAAACGATCATGTACAAAAAGATTCAGATCATTCTATGATTGACGAAAGTAATCGAGACGATTCAATTGGCGCGTATGAAAAGATGACACCGTACAGTCTATGGGAAACATAAATTTCTAACAGCTTGTTTAATTTTCATTGACAAAAGTTGATAAAAGTAAAAGAATGTAGTTAATTTGTTTTGCAAGTTTTTTAATATCAAATTCATGATTACAAGAATTGCTTGTCATATTTCACTTTTAATGCAGATAAAATTTTATCAAATGTGCAAATTAATCGTTACTGATTACTATGCTACATAAATATAAATTACCTCGATATACAATGATACAGCAAAGAGATTGAAAAAGGATGTTACAATGTGACAAAAAGAACTTAAAAAGATAAACGTCTTTCTACGATGACGGAGCACGAGAAACTACCGCGTGTTACAGACGGCGGCAACTTTTTATCTCTACGCTACCCCCACTCCTACGCCTTCCCCCACCACGTGGTCCTAACTGCTTCTGCATCGTAAGTTTTCTTTATGTATTACTTACCGATACATTTGGATCTTATAATTTATCGATCTCCCTGTTTCGGTACTTCTATTTACACTTATAATCAATCACTTGTCATTTTGATAGCGGAAATCATGCTTACGAAATCGCTTAGTATCATCTACTGGAGATGTCGTTCTAGAATTTTTAGAACTATATTGTTAATAAACTATGGCCCGAATTTCTAAATCTCTAACCTCCAAATTTCCAAATTCTAAAATTTAAAAATTTAAATTTCTAAATACTAAAATTTGTATATTATTAAATTTTTTAAATTCAAATTCTCAAAGTACCAAATTTGAAATGTTTATAAATATGATAGTAAACGTGACTGAGAATATTGATATTAAGCTTCGGTGCAAGTAACATTGTAGTATTTTAATTGATCTCAAATCTGCTCGTATATGTGGACTATATTAGCTGTCAATTTAAACGGTGTTTGATAAATTCTCCATGGAAGTTGCATCAGAAAATTGAAGCGACATGTGCTCGTTAAATTAGATAACAATTGCTGGACCGACTGACTGATGTAATCATTCTACCCTGAACGCTAAACTGAATGGCTCATCATTCTTGATTCAAAAAGAGCGGCATTATCGCGACATCAATCGTACGGAGAGGTTACTATCGTATCTTTTGCTTCCTGTTTGACGCTTATATTAATACCATGAAAGATGTATGTGTCGTTGACAGCGTTCCAAATTCTTATTAAAAGACAATAGCAGCGGCAAAGTGACGATTTGAGTTCAAAATTAAATCAATCGTGAATGCAATCACTCGATATTGCACAGGAATGTGAATATTAAGTTTTATATCGTAATAAGCTTGAGAAAAGATGATGATATTCGAGAGCGACCGTAAAACATTGTAAAGCAACGATGACATACCATAGAACGATAGCTGATCGAGATTAAACTTCTGCGTAGTAAGAGGGTTAAATTTGGTGTCACCATCTTAGTTTAGAGCACTTCCTAATGACAAGTGTTCTGAAAAAAGAACCATTTATTTGTTGGTATCGTAAAATCGTAGCGGGGAAATTTAAATCACACCTTCATTGTCGTTTCCGAAATATTTTCAGTTTAGTTTGGCATATTTACTAATTCGAATATCTACGCAAATTAATTGGAACAAATATTTATTTTACGCAGAAATTAGTCAACTTAATTTGTTTACTTTTATATTTACTAGTATCTCTTGGTAAATTTAACCAATCTTTGACTAATACGATCACGTGATCCAGCGTCATCGGAAAATACGATGCGGTATAATTTGAAATTGGAAATTCTCTAGGATTCAAATGTATTGGGGATTTGAAATTAAGAGCTATTTGTTTAATAATATTCATATAATTTATATATTTCAATATTCCTATACTTATAATTTATGAAATTTAATAAAAATGTGTGTATCGAAAAACAACTTTTTATCATACCGAATTTAAATAATATATATTTTATACTTTTGATATGAAGAAATAATATATTCCCAAGTAGTATGCAGAAATATTAATTAAACGATTTCAGTAAGTTTGCTTATGGAAAATAAAAATATGCGGGAATAAAAAATTATGCACATATGAAAATATCGTTGCGAATAGAATTAAAATAAATAAATTATACAATTTTCCAAATGTACAAAAGTATAAGTAATCTCATAATTATGAATACAGTACATATTAGTATATATTCAAGAAAATATTCATAATCATTTGAATCTCATTAAAGCATATGAATATGCCAAAAAATATAAAGAATCTTCTGCAATTAAATTTGATTAACTACCATACATGTAATTCACAATGTATTTTAAAGACAAAACCTAAGACATATGCTATTATATATTTAACAACGACGTTGAATAGAAATTTACAAATAAAAGTATTCGTAGAAATATAGATATCTAAATGAATATAAAAAACTTCATTTATAACTAATATTCTTATAAAAAAATTCGGTAAATACTCAGTACTGTATTATACATAGTAATCGTAATGACGTACGTTTCATATAATATACAATTCAATAATTATTGTTCGAAATATACATTATTTTACGCCGCAATAAATAAAATTCTGTACATATTCAAAAGTAAATTCGAATTCGATTAAAATTACCGCTTATATCGTAGTTCTTACTTAAATATTCGTTTAAGTACAATACACATAATCTCGTAGAGAAGTTGCGTGCATAACCAAATAATATTCATTTGATTTCCTTGGAATTACTTATACACAAACAACTCATCAATCAAAATTTATGATAATATCTCACTAAGATATTATAATCTTTAAAATAGAAAAACTTGATGATACAAAAAGTCTCGCTCATCCTATACAATTATTTATAATCCTTTAACAAAAGGATATACATATAATAATTTTGTTAAGTACATATTGACAATGGTTCTAAGTATAGAACATAAAGATAACGAGAAGAAAAAAGGAAGAACGAAAAGGGACTCAGGAAAAGAGTCACATAACTATGCAGCAACTTTTTTTAGAATGGTTATCGCCGACAATGTCGCTAGTATTTCCAGTGAATCGTTGAAAATCTCCGCCGCTGTTAAATTCAGCATTGGAGATAGGCGACACAGGAATGCCATTTCCATTGGCGTCTATCGAACCGGTTGATATGTGCCGATTCTGTGCCCTTTGTTTCTTCAGATCCGACAATGATTTGACAAAAACAACCGAGACGTGTATGTTGATCTTCCCGTTGGTGTCACCGTCCGGCGTGTAGATTGGCTGCTGATTACCGACCGGTTGGTCGGACCCTGTTACTATCGAGGCAAACATGTAAATCCAACGCTACTTTTCTTCCTCTTGGTACAAGCGAAATTTGCTCTCCTTCCCTTTCACTCGATTCCATCTCATTCGTCATTTCACCTTGAGTAACCCTCCACCTAATTCCCTTTCTTATACACTGAAATTGTACTTCAAAAGAAACACGACTAGTATGAAATCTAGTGGCCATGCGCCAAGCGTAACATGCTTTAGCGATATAAGCATTAAATAGTTGCACATGATGGAGCACCAGAAACGTGTTTCTATGTTCTACGTGTGTCTACACAAACATCTGTACCTCCTACCTTTAGTTAGCAAATCATCACATTTATTAATATGTTCCCTGGATTGTTATTTTTTTAAAAATGACATTTGTAACAATTCATTTGGTTCCAATTCATTTTTCTATCTAAATCAGACCTTCTCAAATAGAGGAAATACAATTCCAAAACATATAGTATACTCTCCTTTCCAACAATGCTCTTTCAGTTCCTCCTTTTTTGGGTAAAAAAGAGAGGAGCAGTAATCTCACAATCATTGGAAGGAAAAGTGCACCACACATTTTGATGTTGGACTTCCCTTATCTAAGAAGACATATATTAGATTGTGAACTAAATATGTTTCTAGCTAATAACATATTTTAAAATTGAAAAATAATACTTATCTAAACTTACATAAAATCTAGTTTACAATCTAATATATGTTATACAAAAGTACACTTTGGAACTACAGATTTTTCAGGTCAAAATAAATTGCAAAGTCAAGGTGAGCTTAGAAAGAGCCTAAGCAAAGACTAAGGAGAGTTTAGAAAGAACCTAAAAAGAAAGCTAAAGAAGTTTACACATATTCAACATTGTCAAATGTTGAAAGACTTTTCAACCCATTTTGACATACAAAATCTGAAGTTTTGATGGTGTACAATCTCTTTGAAATACTCTGTACATACATATAAAGCATATGTAACAGTTGAATTCTCTGGAACATTAAAGTCATTTATTTTATAATTTCTTAACAATATAAATCAGTATTTTTTTATACTATGTCAATGTCCAAACATATTTTTGATTATAATAGATAATTATTTCAAATTGATCATTGTTTGAAGCATTTAACTTTAATTCCAACAAATGTTAAATACAAATTTCTTATCAACAATATTAACATTTTCATAGAAAAAATAAACAAAATCTCTACATGTAACGCTTATAAATTGTATTCTTCATAATACCAAATTTAAAGAATTTTCTTCTTAATGAAATAAGAATATTTTAAGATATATATGGTACATATTGATTTTCTATTTTTAAATTAAAACGATAGTAATTTTCAATATCATTTTCCTAACATTAAATTTATCAACATGATCGATTTGATGTAGGTTCTGTAATAGAAATCTATTAGTGACTATAAGGTACTATTAACGTGAAACGATCAAATGTCGTGACACAACTGACCTTGTAACGACTTTATCATTTAGCGATAAAACTAAGAGACAGGAAGACACATTGCGCGAGTACATAATTAACACTGAGTGTATTCAGTTCGTCATCAGCACAACTAATATGTTAGGTTTGTGAAAAAGTTTAATTTTTCAATAATAATTTATAGCTGATATATAAACTTGTCATTAATTATAAACACATTTTTAAATCAATATTTCATAAAAAAAAAATAAATTAAAAAATTAAATGATTATAAAGAAATACTTTGAAATATTTTGAAGTGTAAAGTGGAAGTTTTCACGTAATAAAAAATATAATTGAAAACAATATAAATAATAAAGTTACATAAAACAACTGCGACCGAATATTTATCACTGTCCTTGTTGCAATATCACACAATAAGAAAACTAAACTCTTTTACAAACCTAATACATGTATCAAAGCAAATCGATATGTTCTATGCGCGAAATATATTTTATTTCATCAACATTTTATCTATGATATGTAGTAAATATACATAAAAATGCTCATTGAATATTAATTGATGCGAACTAATGCATCACGATATAGATCGATATCTAATCAATTTGTTGAGTAGAATATAGAATACTGATAATGTCATTACCAAACGTTGTTACATTTGTATAGTACATTTCTGTATAAAGGAATGTCGAAAAAGATGTTAAAGTAGATAGAAGAGTTATTTTGTTCTTACTTGTATATATGGAAGATATTGAGTTATTTGTATAATGCAAATGTGCGTTTAAGCTCAGAATATTCTAAGCTGTATTATCAGAACTTCAGTTAAAGTAACTGTACTTTTATCCTGATACCGCTCCGCATATAACAGTCAATAAGCTCTGTAAAATGCTAATATTATTTGCAACAAAATTGCTAAAAAAAGCTAATGCAATTTAGCTCCTGCTGCAAAAAAAAAAATCGATCCGAACCAGAAAAGTATTTTGAAAAAGAACGATACATGTATGCACAGCACATATAAAAATTACTTGACATTACGAGTCAAAATTTTCGAAACGTATGGTAATATAAAAAGTTCCCAAAATAAGAATACGCAGCATCAAAGATACGTTTAAAGGAACAGGAAAGTGACATAGAAAACTGACCTCGCAATTATTCAGGAGCACGACGCAGTAATAACAGAAAGAAGAAAGGACTGATAAATGATCTATGTTGAACATTTTGTTTAACAATTTACAGACAAAAATTATGATAATGATTTTTCTATACCACCATAGTGACAAATATTCGTTATGAATATTTAAATTCTTACACGTTCAGTTGTCTAAAAATGATTTTCATTAAAATGACAATAAACCTTTATTTTCAGTTAATATTGTTTCTCTGTTACTTTCAAACATAAACGAATATACTATTTTGGCACAATAAGCGCATGTTAAATATAAAATTGTAATTGCTATGAAACGTTATCAAGGTCGAGTTATGCGGTACAAACGCACGACTTAAGTGGACATGACACGTGAAATAGTATTTTCCCCACAACATTATGCACAAAACTACCATTTACCAGAGGATTCTACTTAACCACAACCACTGTGAGTGTAACATGTTTTGGAATGTACCTGAGTCTTTATCGACGTCTTCGTGAAGAAAAGATTCGTTATCTTTTCCTTCAGGAGCCTTACGTACTGCTGTTGGTGGAGCACTAGAATCTGACTCGTTTGCATTTTCTCGAGCACTGACTTCATTCTCAGAAGGTGGGACGTTCGCTGTTGAACCTCCAACATACGTCTAAAATTATTAGTAACGAGAATTATTATTAACGATAAATGTTTTATAATATGAAAAACAAAAAATTTCAGTACTTGTTGCGCTTGTAATCTTAGACGAGCTTCTTCTTGAGCATCCTTTTTCGTAGTTAGAACTTTATCTCTTATCGAAGTTCGTCTTACACTTTGAGTACGTGTATTTATACTTTGAGATCTGCGTACTCGTCTTCCTTGCGCTTCTCGCAATCGCTTGCTTTCTTGTTCGGTCTTAAGTTCAACTATCCTTTCTCTAATTTCAGGATCTTCGCATATATCTACAAAATAAAATGGAACGTTTCGTTAGTACTAGTATTAAATAATAATTCTGATAATTTGTATGACGAAAGCGTTTCTACCCGCTGGTGTTTCATCATGTTTATTCTTTGCATTTAAATCGGCCCCATTTTGTACCAACAATTCCAAAACTTCTAGCTGAAAAGAAATAATATCTATAGTAAGCACAACAAGTTTCATTCGGGTAATTTAATACATGTTTCTATATAATGCTCTTACATGTCCCCAACATGCAGCTGCATGAACTGGTTGCCATTTGTCATTATCTTCAACATCAGTCGAAACATGTTGATCTAAAAGAAACTCAACTACCCTTAAGTAACCGTTTGCAGCTGCAATGTGAAGCTAGAATTCGAAACGGAAAATTATCACATGTTTGTTGCTATGTGATAGTCTGATAATTGTTATGTAAAAGCAAAGAGCTTAGGCTTATATACGTACAGGTGTAGCACCTTGATGATCTTTATATTCAAGATCACCACCTATAGAAGTTATATGTTGCAAATCTCTTAACATTTGAACTTCTATTGAAGCTCTAGTTTCGTCTATTAATTCTTGAGTAACACCTCTTCTTGCCATTTCTCCTGTGTTGTATAAAAAAAGGCAAAAATAAATCTATCAAGTTACAATATGATTTTTTTTATATTAGATGGTTATATATAATTTTAAGTTATGACAATTAAAAAAATTCTTGCCTTCAATGCAGTCCAATGTTTTCTCATCTTCACAAATGTCATAAGGCATATTACCATCAGCATTAACAGCTAATAAATTTGCACCTCTTGCAATGAGGTTTTTAACTAAATGCAAATGTCCACAAGTAGCAGCAGCATGCAATGGTGTCCATTTTTCACTATCTTCTGCATTTACATTTGCTCCAAATTCAATCAATAATTTCATCATTTCTTCATTATCATCTATACAACACTGATGTAAAGCTGTCAATCCATCTTCATTGGTTGAATCTGGATTTACTCCTTTCTTTAGAAGGCGTCTCACTGAAATATGTGTTGTTTCTTAACAGGTAGTACATTATAATACAAATGAATATTTCTACACTTCTGTCAAATTACCTTCATCAATATCATTTCTTGCAGCAGCTTCCAGAAGCATAACACTGTCACTAAAATATATATGACGTTTGTTGCTTGTATGTCTGGTTTGATGACGCATCCATTCTTTTTCACGCTGACGCCAAACTTTTAACTGTTGAAGTCTTCTATGACGAGCCAAATGCAAGCGTTCTTGAGTGGTTAACCTTTCTATATGCACCATCTCTGCCACTAAATCGGAATGTTCCATGGCTATTCGCTTGTAATTTTTACAGCTGTATTTACCTGCTCAAAAAATTAATTTTGATTCATACTTGTGATTTAGAGTTAAAGTGTATTAATATTTATATTACAGTAAAAAAACTGTAAAGTAGAAAATATTAGTAGGAGTAAATTGGTATTTTAAAAAGGGATTTGGATGTTAGCCAGTTTACCTTCACACTTACAAAGCCATGAATGCATTCCAAGGTATTTTAAAATTTTTCGACAAACATTAGACATCATTCTGACATAATATCAAGTTTTGCTCTTTCAGATTCAAAAACCTGTGTGAAATTAGCCATTTTTTCATTGGATATTTGATGCGAATGATATCATACTTTTTATCCAAAACTCTGTCATATTTATCAAGTACTTAGGTAAGTAAACATACATTATTTACACAAATGTTCAAAAATATTCATTTGAATCACCAGCAACAATAAGTTGTTTATAATTTTCTGTAGAAATAAAACACATTTTAATCATATATATTTTAGAAAATTTCTTTTGAAAATGCACTTGTACTTGATAATACTGAAAGAGTTACAACATACGAATTTTTTTGAAACAAATTTCATGTTTCTTAGAAATTTATATAAAATAATGAATATATTAAACGAATCAAAACTCAATGTAAAATTATAAACTTCTTTTGTACAAAATTTTTGTTTTTGATAACAATTAACTTTGAATGCATATAACTCAAAATTAAACAATGCAAAAATATAAAACTCCAGTTAACGTTATTTATAGTTAACTTATAAGGAAAAAAACACATATTTCAAGTTTAATTGTAATCTACACATAGCGTAATATAACTTCTCCATAACGAGCCATACAATTATAAGGTTTCAACAGGTAAAAGAAATAACATATGTAAACATACTGTACTGTACGACATTGTTTTCTCATTCTTTATTTTTCACTCTTATCTCAACGTATGGACAAAATAATACAGTTCTCACATAAAACGTGAAAATTAATAGACCAGATAAGAAAATAAAGGTGAAGAGGGGAGTAAAAAAACAGGGCTAACGACGAGTAAAATATCGATAGGAGCATATCGGAAACAGAAATATGAATATCCTTGCCATTTTGCGATAGTAACGCAAGTTAATGCAGGTGAAAGAAATCTGTTCTAGGGACTGGGGGGTGTCAAATCGCGGGATCTACTCACATTGGCAAGCGATTGCTCGTTCGTTCACTTATTCGTTCGCGATCCAATGGAATGCGGAAGTTTGCTCGTTCGTTCGTACATTCGTTCGTTTTTTTTGTTCCTTTTTCGAGAACTCGGAAAACAGCCGTGTAGCAGGTAGAAAATTTGAATTGTGACGAGGCTGAACTAAGCAGAGCTAAAACTCGTGAGTACGACGTAGCGGAGAGAAAGTCACCGTGTTGATCGATGAAAATGTAACATAATTCGCAAGGTTTCTCCGATGGAACGGTCTCACTGAATAATATTGAATCAGAGCTAGCCGAACGAAACCCTTGCTTTTAATTTCACCAGAATCACGTCGCTTCTGGTCTCGTCGCGGCGCCGTGCACGCGAGGAAACGCGTACCTGTCAGTCGCCATTTTTAAACTACCTGTAGAAAATCATTCGCGCGTTGCCCTTCACTGCCGCGCTAACTTCGCTTTTTTTCGAATTACTCTTATACTTGACCTGTCTCCACGCGCACACCTCGTGCACAAACTTTATCTCGTATGAAATATTTGTTCATAGATTTACAGTGTGTATACAACTTACGAATCACGAAAATTAAACTAATGAACTTGAATATGTTTAGAATGCATCAGCAAAAAATCTATATTCCATTAATTTTTTTTGTAACTAATATTAATGGAATTTTTATTTATAAATTCGTCGCGAAAAGATATCGATGTCATCTTTTAGAATATACATTGCGTGCAAATGTAATTCTGTGATCAATCGAAACTTTTTTCGACATATGATTTTTTTTACATATTCGCCTACACAATGATGCAAAAATTCAGAAATTATATAATTTATGTTCACCTTCGATTATTTATGGCACATAATTGTTGCAAATATTCCTATTCGTTTGTCACGCGATTTAGATATGAGGCCAATTTTCGCAGTCACTTAGTTTTTAAATTGCACCTATTGTAACCATCTATAATTTACTGTAATTTACAGAAGTTTCCTTAGAACCAATAAAAAGTTGTATTTTGTTTTATTCTTGTATTTTCTTCGAAAGGTAAAATAAAAAGTAAAAAATTATGAAGAAAAATATAAAGAGAAAATGCAGCTATAGAATATTAGAAACTATTATTCTAAATGCATTTAGAAAGAAATTGAATCCATATAACATTAGGAGAAATTTTTTTATGTATTTTAGTGAAGTAATTAAATTCACATAATTATTTCAAAACTCCCGCCATGGACAGAAATTCTTATTACGAACATAGTATAGAATATTATACTTTATTTACAATATTATTACAGATTTCAACATCGATAAAGTTGATAAGTTGACAAAATTTCTTGTTGTTCGATTTACTATTATAAAAGTATACAGTGTTTAATTGATGAAACGTAAAGCATCAACAGATTCTTCTCCGTTGTTGAAAGATCAGACAACATGTGTCACAGGAAAACAGCAAGAAAGAAAAATTCATTTGGCAGTTGTCAGTGGAATTTTTGCAACTACCGGAAGTCTGTTTGGTAAATTTACAAGTAACGTTGAAATGGATTCTTTAGTAAGTGATGTAACTTTTCTAAATTTAACTGTTTCTCATATAGAAAATATATTATTTTCTTTGTGCGAATCTGTTCATGAAATGTTTATTTCTTTCTTCTTGATAAGCTTGGGTTGCTGTTTAAAACAGTGCTGTTAATATTGATGGTAACAAGCAACACTGTCGGCTGCACATTTTTCGTGAAAGCGCTGAATGCCAGCGGATCTTCTTTACCATGCACAATCGCCAGCGCCGCTACGAGCTACGTTTGTTCGGTAATTTCCTTTTTTATCGATACAGTAAACCCATAAGATACAGTCGATTAATTCAATTATACTTCATTTTTAATTAAAGGCATTAGTCGGTTCTTTGATCTTCAATGAATCCACGTCTCTCACTTGGTGGTGTGGTATATCTTTCGTTATTCTGGGCTTATTGCTAGTCTGTCACAATCCATCTAAACAGGAGACTGTGGAAAAACCAAAGGAAGAATAATTAAAGATCTTTTAGACGATATTTATTTTAGTATGTAGTGAATTAAATAACTAAACTTTTAATTCTATTTTTTTCATTGTTATTTTGAAAATCATAAAAAATTTGTTTATAATATAGAGTTAATTAGTTGTATTTCATTCTAATATTAATTATTTAAATTGTAAAGTAGTATTCGAAGAACAATAAATTTATTGTTTTTAACTCTCATTATTTCCCTCTGGCCCATTCACAGAAAGCAATGGAAGATGCGAAAGAAACGACAGAGAAACCAGCAGTGAAAAAAATATCTGAAGTAGCACTTGTTTTAGTGAGTAAAGTGGATCTCCGCACTTGTAATAGCAGCGGATAAGAAACGCGAGGAAAAAAAGAATAGAAGATTCTTCCGCCCTATTTCCTTCTACATATGGACTATATAAATACTTCGCTTTTTGGTTGGATTACATCCAAGATCCTCTCAAAGTTTTTCAATAACATTTTTTCTGTGCTTCATTGAATATATATAATTGTTGTACTTTAATTAACGAAATCAGATATTCCAATTCTGTTACAAGCACTCATTCTACAGAGAGATTCAAATTTTCAAATTGTCAAAAGAGATTAAAGGATTTAGGTATGTAGGAATTCTAATTTAATAAATATTCAAATTTTCAGCGGCAGATAATTGAATGTTTGCCCAAACATGCGCTGCATAGACGAAATTCCATTCACATGGACCGTTTCCTGCTATAATCTCGTCCAGTGCCATATATCGAGATTTCGCTTCACTTTATCTTACCATTGAGAGGTTACAGCCAAGCACAAGTGTATAGATTACCCATAAACATTCGCACAGGATGTATCTCCAGTATTGAAATATTTATTTCATTATTGCCTAAATCATTATCTGAATCGATAAACAGTAAATGCTTATTTGTTGAAACTGTACATGCGCTACGTGTTTTTATACAATACGTTAACTTAGGTTAGTAACGAAGTATCTTACTAGTCCAGGGTTGCTAGCACCGTGTTACATAGACAGTGTACCCCAGTTTAAAAGAGTATATGTGTACAGAGCTGGCCACGAAGTTTCAGTCAACCAGGTTTTCAGTTTGTGGGGCAGGGTCGTGGTTCATAGGTGTACCATGCAACTGAGGAGGACGGTATTAGAGAAGAAGCGAAACACGAAAGAGGAGCAAGAGGATGGCTTTATCGAGCGGCGACTGCGCAGTAGCGTCATTCTCGACGCTGCCGTCTATCGGTTAACACCATCCTCCAGAGACAAGAATATGATAATTTTCTTATTAGATCACATGAATCATTACTCCGCATTATTCAAACGTACAAATCTCCAGCGTTCAATCTTAAAAACATTTCATTCGATCACTTCGTTCGTCAAAGTATGGCACTTGATTCATGCTTGTTCACTCACCGTTCATAATGAAACACGTTTTCTCATCGGAATTGTAAGCTTAAATCGAGTGCAATTCAGTAACAGATGACAATTAGTTGTCAGGTTTGAATTAACAAAATGTTTCGAGCATTCTCATGGATTTATCGCAAGCCTTTTTTGCTAGAACCGCTATTCAACGAGTCGTGCTCCTTACGACTTGTCCCGTGCACGCGCCTTGCGTACCCCCACTCCTCGCCCGTTCCCCCTCCACTCTACGCTTCCCCCACCACAAGCTAGTGCCCCTAGATTCTGGCAATGCTTCTCGCAACCGAGACAACGGGACAGTTTTCATACGGCGCACCCTCTCGCCGATCCAGTCGAATATCAAATGGTACGGGATAACGAGCCTGTGCTTTTACGCGGTTCGTGTTACCCGTGTCTTGCCTCGCAATTAGCTTATCTGTCGTGCGCGCGTGTTAACACAAGCGTGTTAATTAGAAAAGGTGCATTCACGGTGAAAAGTGTCGACAGGTAGAGTGGATCATAATTTTCATTCGATCAATCAGTTTCTTAGGAACGATCTTTGATTTGTTTTCTCGCTTCAGCTGAATAAAAAGTTGCCTCGAACCGTGCAGGTCCGCACAATCAATTCACGAAGCCATAAGTCGGAATTGAACCGGGGAGGTGTTCGACTAAAGTAAATACCGGTAGTCAATTTTAATTGATCCCGCACCCGTGGGACTTATGCGGTATTCCCGTGTTGTTCGAACGAATTCAACTGTGAAATTTATTAACGCACGAACGAGGAAAACAGGGAGGAAACTGTTTTTGTTACGCACGAAATGTTAAAGTACGTTAATCAGGGCGATCAGTATGTTTGCTAATTGCGCCAGGTTTTAAATCGATCGGATAATGAGATAATTTATGGTACAAAAGGAAATATTACAATTGGTGTTTTTAATACCTTTAATTACAAAAATTGTGATCTTCCTAAATTGTCGAAACAGACTTTTGAAAATGATCATTTTCCGATGTGTTATCTTCAGAAAAAAGGGTTACATAAAAATATTTCATGTAAATCATAATATGAGAGAAATTCGACTTTAGAAGTCATTGCATTTTTTGTTGTAGTTTGTTGCTATTGTTATTCAGAGGGAACAGCCCTTTGACAGACAGTATTTATCGCGACCCACCCAGGATCAACTCGCGACCCTTTGAGAATTTCTGTTTTCAAATTTTTTATATTTTATATATTTGTAATGTCCATATTTTATCACCATTTTTATATTTAATATTTCTGTAATGTTTTCTAAATTTTCTTAATTTATTATATTTTAGTATATAAGCATCAATGAGTCAGAACTTTGAACTTGGTCTGCACAATTATGATTACGGTTCACACAAAAAATTGTACATCACATTTAACGCAAAATAGTTTCTTTACGAACGCGTTAAATAAAATTTATAAAAATATAGAAGTGGACATTTAAATCTAAACAAGCCATCTGGGTCATCGCGATGAGAAAAGTCGCTCGATTTCGTATCTCCGAATTTATTTCGTCAACATCTCGTCGATCGTAACGTGAATTATTATCTCGTTGAAGATGCATTTTGCCAACATTAATACACGCAAGACCAGTTTCGATTTTCTATTTGGCATCTGTCCAACTAATGCTTCGTGTAGAAAATCAAAGACGTGAAAACTTTTTTAATTTATCGCCGTGGGCGAAGTAACGATTGTACCCTTTAGCCGCATTTCATTCTTTCTATAGAGGCCTACCCTTTCTATACGTGCATTTAAATCGTCCGGAGAAAAATCAGGCAGAAAATATAGGTTTGTTCCTCTTCGAGTGAAACGAAACAAAAGCTTTCCCTCAAATTGCTCGGCTTTCATTCAGAGTGATAACTTGATCGTTGCGCTGATGAGTTTGCCTGTATCCCGCTATTCTGTTTCACTTGTTCTGTCGACGAAATATCAAGATCGTAATATCAACACGGATGATCGTGTCGATCGAAAAAAAACCTATTAATAATTCACCTGTTTAGTTCGCTTAAGGTGACCGTATCGACAGGCAAACACGAAACTTAGTACATTAACAAATATGATAAATAAATTAAAATACAATCAACTTTATTGATTCGGGGAAGTTTTTTTTTACTAATGGAAGCTCACCCTTGATAGACTTGAAGACTTTTTAAATAATATCGCGGCAAACTTTTAAAAATTTCGAATTAAATAAATTGTATGGAAGGGAAGTTTCATGTAGTCAGTGTGAAATATTCTGTAGAGAGGGTTGGCTGGTAATAATTTTTAATTATTTATTGCTTCATGAATTTACAAGATCTTCCTTTCTATTTTTATATACTAATGTGTAAGTAATATTAATAAAAGGATTTATCGAGGGATGAAAATATAAAAGAAGTCGTAAACAGCCCTTGTTAATTCGTATAATTTAAATGAATAAAGCAGAGATAATTACATAGAAAGCGATACAAAGATTCGAGGGAAAAGATCTTTCATTTTATAATAACAGAGTCACTAACGATACGATCTGCAGTCGAGTATTAAGATACTAAAGCGATACAACCTTAATTATGTACCTGGGTATTAATTTTTGATAAGTGCTTTCAAAGAATTTGTCGATAAAACGAAAAAACTTCCACGAAATCGCGATTGTTCGGAATCGTGTCGTTCAAACGCATCGTGGTGGAATAAACGTGCAAAAGTGAAAAGCTAATGCTCGCATAGATAGGTCCCGGTGGAAAAAAAAGTTTATAGAAACGCACATGCTATGTTAGACTCGAAAAGACTTTCGTGACAATCTGTTCAATCTTCGTCGACAAACGAGATTTATGGCACAAACAGTCCCATATTTTTTTATCTTTGCCTGCATAATTGATAAACGAATGCGGGCGGAGGATAAAAATGTGGAACGAGGGTTCTCTCCTGTGACAGTGTTTCGTTGCTTGAGACACGTTTCGTTGGTGATTTTCTAATCATTGGTTAAAAATTTGAGTATCGAGGATGCTGGCACGAAGATATACGGAAAGCACGCACGAAGGTTAATCAAGTGAATCGGAACTCGTAATAGAATCCATCTTCAACGATGATGCTGAAGGAGGAACGCGACGGCCACAAAAGAAACTGTTGTCCAACAATAAGATCATCGGGGAGCGAACTCGCGAGACGAAAGATAAGAAAAAATCGTCGAATCGTCTCGAGTGCAAGCGATTGAACTGATAGTTTCTTTCCACGTTTTATCACGTATCTACGATTATTCGACGTAGCCTGAAGGGTCCTAGGCTCCGGTAAACTGCCATCATGGGGAATGGTATGAACAAGGTAAGATTCACGTTTTTCGAGCGAGGGATGGCATTTATCTCGATTTGACTCTTTCGTGAAAGCTATGATATGGAATTTATTCATTTTTTATAAGGGATGTTTATGTAGGATTTGTTTGCTCTAAGTTCTGTAAATTTTTATTAAATATGGTGGTAGTTTACCGACACTTGAGTGGCATATTTTCTTTTAATTCTTTGATAACTCTAGAGACTTTCTCTACATACCTATACTTCAGAGGTGTAGAATAGATAGTAGAGGTATTATTTAAATATTCTTAGATTTCTAGGTCTCTATATCTAAATGTCTATATTTCCATATCTCGAGGTTCTTATATCTAAACCCATATTTTTATATCTGTATGATTTTTATTGTCGTAAACAATTTCAGTATTTTTACTATTTATAGCAAATAATCAAAACACCTGATGCAGCTTGTTTACTTTAAACTCAGTATTCTTATTCATAGCACCGACAGCTGCGTTCCACATAATTCTGTTTCTAAAAATAGGAAGTTGGGATAAAATAAAAATGATCTCACGAAGATTGCGGCAAATCAAGTTTTGGGGAAAAATGAAATCACGAAAGGGTTAAAGAAAGTATTCCTAATTAAGAAAGAACTTGAATAGCAAAGTTTTTAACTTGCTGTATTATTATTATGTGAATGCATGTCTTTTTGAAATAAAGAAAAAGTGAATTTAAATATGAAGATAGAGATTCTAAATATTTACATTTATTTTGTATGTTAAAGTTTTAGATTTTAGACAGCGTATATTTTCTTCGGAACGAGGTCAAAAAATAATAGAGAAGTAGGTTATTAATAGTATTTTTATTCGGACATTTTGTACGAGACAAATGAGGTATCACATCGTTGAAAGTTTTGATATGTGTATAATTGTATAGAAATCCACAGACTACTCATTATTATATCTTTCTCAAAGATGCTAATGATGCACGTGCTTGTACATCTTGTTTTGTTCCTTGCCACATATTCAGCTTGTAAGATCATTACATCGCGGTTGCTAATTTTATCTGTCCCAGATATTAAAATTCAACAGATTCCGATACTTTACACCTGTACGAGGTATTTATTACTAAGTTAAACGATTAGTCAAGCTACTTAAATATTTTAATTTCTACATTTCCAATTTTCAAATTTATTAAATTGTTACATTTCTAATTTAATGGTTACTGCATTTTTGGATTGCTGAGATTTCAAATTTGTGAATTATGAAATTTCGTAGTTGTAAGATTTCTAAATTTCCAAATGTGGGAATCACCAAATTTCTAAATTTCTAAATTTCCAAACTCGCAAATTTCCAAATTTTCAGATTCCCAAACTCTCAAATTTCCAACCCCTCAAATTCCCAAACTCTCAAATT